CTGTGTTATTATACACGCACAGCCCTGTTTTATTTAGAGCCGTGTAAAACCTCACTCACACTGAAGTAGTTGCGGTTCACAGTCACACAGTGCCTACCCCGAGTCTCTTTGGGAGGATCACACAATAAATAAACTGAATCCTAACACACGCTTACACACACACACACACACACACACACACACACACACACACACATTGTCTTTATGGAAAATGACTGCTAATCCATGATCATTTTTTTTTCCAGAAACAGGTTTTATGATAATATAGTAAAAATATTAAATTAGAAAATGCCTCACTAAGGGTTATAAAACCTTACTACACTAGAGATAGGTAATTATCCCCTCTACAGCCTAAATGACAGTTTAAAAGAAATAAAAATGTTAGTGCTCATTACTTGCTTTTGTAGGTTGCAATAAAGGGTGAGTTAAATTTTAATTCAAGGAAGAGCCCCTCTATCGACCTTCTACCTTAGGTGTGCGTCCTGTAATTACACTGTCGCCTATTCTCCTGCCTGATACCAGCATTAATACACTTTCTGTGCTGAATGTCCCCACTGGCCAGAGACCATAGTGTGTCGGGCAGGCCCCAAGCAGGGACACATTGCAGTTGGGTGGTTCAAAGCTGGATTCTTCATGTGATCAGAAACAGGAATTCTGTATTTTTGTTGTTGTTAAGCCGAGGTTCATTACACATAGCTTTAGGGGACCCACAGTATTGAGCTCTGCGCTTACCCTGGAGAAGCAGATGGAGATCAGGTTAACCTGAAGGACTGAGAGTGCAGCCCCTCCTAGTGCCTCAGGGAAAGCCCACCCGTGGTAGAGGCAGTTGGCCCCACCAGCCTCTCTCCTTGCCTGGTTTCTATTTTTTTCCCCTTGGGGCTGCATCAGGGGGTGGGGCACAGTTCACTTATTTTTAGATGTTTGCCTTTCCTTCAGATCTAGCAACCTTCTTTCTCATGAGACAGTAGCCAGAGTCATGCGCAAGAAGGAACAGGCGCCCTCTGCCTGGCGTCCCACAGGTACCCAGAGCCCTGAGACCTGGCCCTGAGGAGGGTGCCTCGGCCCACACACAGGCCCGGCATGGGGCTGAGGGTGCTGGGAAACACCCAGGCGGGAAGAGAACTGCTCAAAGCTCAGGTGGGCTCTAGCGCTTTAGGTTCACCTGAGTTGCCAGAAGGCATACACTGGTTGTTAGCTGGTAGGTCATTAAAAGCAGTTTTTGGTGGAAGATCACTGGGCTCCTGGTGGGGAAAGGGTTGCTATGTACAGTAATTGAGAAAGAAAGAGAACAATCAAGTGACACTCTTATGACAAAATTGTTTCTACTTTTTCTTGTGACAGGACTTTTCAGTACATACAGTTACTCAAAAAATACAAAAACAGGCCTCAGTAGAATAAGCGCTTGCCTGGCAAGCGCAGGGTCCTGAGTTCAATCCCTGGTACCACAAAAAAAAAAAAAAAAAATCAAATAGAATTGCTGCTGAACCCTTTTAATTCTGGCATCTACAGACCTGTAAACAATGGAAGAAAAGTTTTACCTATATTCTTAGATGTACTTCTTTTTTTGTTTTGTTTTGGTTTGGTTTTTTTGGCAGAACCGGGAATTGAACCCAGGCCCTTGTGCTTGCCAGGGAAGCACTTATTCCACTGAGTCATCTCCCCGGCCCCCTTAGATATATTTTTAATGATGTTTTTTGTTTCTGTGTTTTTGGGGAGGGATTGTATTTTTTAGGAAAGGGTGTACAGGGTGTTCAGGGTCTCACTACTAGATTGGACTCATAGTGAGTCTACCTGTTTACAGCCTCCCAAGAGCTGGGATTACAGGTACGTACCACCATGCCCAGTCTCAAGTGTAGTCTCAGCGTGCCCCGGGATCAGGGCCACGACAGGCCCAGGGATCGAACCCCCAGCTCCTGCAACTGCTTGCAGGAGCTTTAATCCACTGAGCTATTTGGCTGGCCCTCTGATGATGTTTTATAAAACATTATAAACATAATGTTTTAAAATACATTTTCACTAGTTATAAAACATTGTATTATATTGTTATATGTCTGTATCCTAAAATAATTATAGTAACCCAATCCAGAAGAAAAATTTTAATCATCTAGAGACTTACTGTGTCAAGAAATTAAAATATTTGCATTCTCGTTTTTTAAATTTCAAAAATTTCCAATAATATTCTGTTTACATACCTATTTTTGTGGCTTAGAAGTATAACAAAATGATCAATAAAAGACTTTCAAGCATAAAACAGTTATATTAAAACAAAAATCTGTAGGGAAAATTCAAATGGAAATTCAAATTTAAAAAGAAAATGATGCTATAAAATATCCAGGTTAACGTGTGTGTTTATGTGTGGTGTGAACAGTGGTGGGTGGAGAATCACAATAATTCCATTGGGTGCATTACAAACAGGATGTAAAGGTTTTATTTTCAAAGTTAATATTCACAACATTCTGATAATTATATCCTTTGTGATAGTTGAGATTTATTGTGAAAAGCAACACAGCAGCGTGGTGTGCGTGAGAGGCCGGGTGCCCTCGGGAGCCCGTCCCGGGCAGGGGCTGCATCTGCGCTGCCACCGTGCCGGTCGGTCCCTTGTGAATGCAGATCTGAGCAGGCCTGGATGGCACGGAGGGCTGAGCTGAGGGTGTCCCGGCCGCCGGGGAGCATCCTCTGCAGCTGTCCTGGAACTGAGGGCAGCGAGAGAGGAGGTGAAGGGAGCAGAGGAGCTAGCTGCGAGGCCGTCGCCAGGTCCTGCTGAGGGTGGCACCACGTGAGACAGCAGGGGCCTGGAGCTGCAGGAGGCCCGAGCTGGGCGGGTGCAGAGGTGGCTGAGGCCCGGTGGTGGGCGGCGAGGGCTTCGTGGTGGAGTGGTTTCGGGAAGTTCGGGCTGGCGCGATCCTTTGTTCATTGCCTCAGTCTTCCCTCCCCCGCATATCCCAAGACCCCAGACCACCGAGCTTTCCGGGTTCTTTGCCATGAGCACCTGCATACGTCTGCCAGTTTTGCGCGCCTGCGTGTGAAATGATGCTCTATCAAAACACGGCCCGCATTTCACTCGGATCCTGACTTGCGAGCCCTGCTGTGGACGGGAGTCGCTGCCTCTGGCCCTGCAGCTTGAGGTGTTTCCCTGCCCCGGGTGATGACGGGGTCTGCTGCCCGCAGGTGAAGCAAGGCTGGGAAGGTGGTCAGCACTGAGCCTGCACACGTGGCAGTGTCAGAGTCACAGTGTCTTTCAGTTGTGGCCACTCTCCTTCATGCCATTTAGTGGTGGTGGTGAAATGGCCAGAAAGACTTGATTTCTTGGCACGTAAGTGCAGCGTGGTGAAATGAGGCCTGGGCCTTCGGATGATGCCGGTGTCCAGTGATGTGGACGGGAGGCCACGCTCATTTCCATTTGGGCCAAGGCTCCTGCCTGGGCCTCTGGGCTGTGGAGGGCAAGGCAGACAGAGGGGACCAGAAGGGGAGCAAGAGAGACCCAGGAGTCTTAGGCGAGCCCGTGTCCTTCTGTCTGGAGGCCTCTGGGTTGTTTGCAGATCAGGGTGAGGTGCCACCAAATGTTTGCAATGAAATAAAGATTTGTTGTTTTGTTTGTTTGGTTTTTTGTTTTTTGTTTTTTTTGTTTTGGCTCTGAATGCCCTCAGGGGTGGTTTGGCTGGCTGGAGTGTTGTGGGGATCGAACTACAGCAACCTGAGGCTGACAGCTTTGTGGAAGCAGCCACTTAAAGAGCTGAGCTAGGGCCAGGCCCCCTGCAATGAAATTTCTGGAGTTAAACTGAACACCCAGTGTCTTCTGTCCTACCCTTTCCCTGCCTGTCCTGGGGTCCCCAGCATGCCAGAGCTAGTTCACATTGTGGCTTCTGTGGTTTCTTAGAGATTTTCACTTCTTGCTTTTCTAAAAGCTTTGGCGTGCTATTTCTGTTGCTGTTTTCTGTTACGGCACCTCTGTTCCTCCCCAGAGGAAAGCAGGATGACCTCAGAAAAAAAGACTAGCAAGGCTTTGTGTTGAAGTCTTGCTGAACTAAAATATGTGTTTGAAAGATTGGATTTGTATTTTGTGTGTAAAGTCAGGATGGTTGATGGTGGCCCTCAGCCGGAGCACAGCTTTTGAGGACTTTTTTAAACAAGATAGCAGGCAGAGTTCTTGGTTGGATATGGAAATGTCAGAGCCGGTGCAGCTTTCCCTGGCATTGCCAGCTCTCTGCCAGCCATCCCCTAAGCCCATTGTGTGCCCCCTTGGTCCCCACAGGGAATGTGTGCTGGAGCGGCTGTCATGGTGGCAGGAACGACCTGGGCCCCGTATTTTCCAGTTCTAGCAGATGGCTTTGGCCAGATCTGTGTCATGTGCTACACTTAATAAGAGGGACAGAGTTTGGAAGTGATAATTTACTCAATTTTCAGAAACCCAAGGAGATACTGGCATATTAGGATTTTTTAAATAACAGAATCCAACTTTAGAAATAAATTAACCAATCAAATTACATGTTAGACTAGGGGAGAGGGAGGGGAAGACCCCTGGTTCTGCTCTGGACCAGCTCACATGTGGTGGTAATTGGAATCTTGTTGCTGGGTCATTTTCATTGTTTTTCAAGTACTGCCAAGTCCAAGAAAATGTATGAAAAGTAAATTATATCCCCCTGCATCCCATGTCTGATTGAATCCTCCTCATCGCATGGCAGTCTCATACATTCTATTAAAATATTCAATCTTATTTTGTTTCCTGAAGAGCCTGTCGGTAAAGGGCAAACTTACGGAAGACTCCTTCCCTAGAGACAGGGTGTCCAGCCACACTGGACTGTTTACATATTTTGCTATTTGATTGGCTGCTCCTGGGTCTGTTCCTTATGTTGTATTTGTGAGTAAGAGCTGTGAGGTGCATTTTTTAATTACGTGGCTGTGTTTTCAATTGAAGAAACAGATGAGGGTATTTCCCAGCTTCTTTTTAACCTTGAAAAGTTAACCAGTGTGCTAACCAGTGTGCTTGGTTTGTCTTCCAGGACAGAGTTGTATCGATCTCTTTTTGGGCAGCTCCACTCTCCCGCCACAAGCCACGGGGACTGACGCCGCAGCTCCCTCCCGGCACCGTCCAATGGAGGCTGCCCGACCTGACAGGGACAGGGACGTCGGGCCTGGGGAGGTGCTCGCGCCTCCTCTCTGCCCAACACTGCCACCTCCCCGTGTCCTCTCCCCATCACAAATAAAAGTACTGTCACTGCGCCCCCCGCGTGTGATTTGTTAAGAGGTGCAGAGTGAGTCTCTTCAGGGCTCAGTGGTGTGGCTCACTTGTCGGGAGGGTTATTTTCTAGGGAAGTGACTGGCCTCATACTGTACAACCTGCGCATTCCGTCTGTCCTCTCCTCCGTGAAGGCCGCCTGGCCCCCACGTTGGGGCTGTGTGAGTGGCGCTGCTGCGCATGAGGAGCAGCAGCTGCTCCTGCAGGCAGGTTTCCACACGATCACTGCGCAGCCAGCGTGGGGGCTGCATTCTACGTGTAGCCCACTCTCAGGTGGTGTTTGCTGGCTTACTGTGTGTGTTGTGTTGGGGCTCACAGGCCCTCACACATGCTACGCACATGATCCGAGCTGCCTCCCTAGCCCTGATTTTGCTTCTTTTTTGCTGGTACTGGGGATTGAACCCAGGACTTCACATATGGGGCGGGGGGGGGGGTTTGCCCTACCACTAAGCTACATCTCTAGTCCTTATTTTTTAATTTTTGACAAGGTCCTGCTAAATGGCCTAGGGTATCCTTAAACATGGAATCCTCCTGCCTCAGCCTCCTAAGTAGCTCGGGTTATAGACATGTCCCACCCCACTCCACCAATATTAATTTTTAATTAACTTTGCAAAAGAAGTAATTCTGGGCAGGGTGCTGCTCTCAGTGGGTGTTCACTGACTTATCATGGCTGAGAACAGAGTCTGCCCAGAGCTTACAAGACTTCATAACTCAGGGATACTCGCCCATCTGCCCGCTAAGTACAGATCTTATTCTTCCTTTGTTTCCTCTTCATCTACAAAGACTCTTCCAGGGTCCCTTTCTGTTCGCCATTCCTAAATCACTTTATTGAGATTGGCTCTGGTGTAAATCTAGCAAGAGGAGATGATTCACTTGTTTTTCATTCAGAGATCAAAAGCTAGAAATTAAATCCCCATGAGGGGGATTTATAGGCCTGCTGTGGTCAGTATCGCAGTGGAGATCCTCATGTGCGAGTGGTGTGTGTACGGGTGACCGGTGTCCCCCGCTGACCCTCTTACAGCAAGCACCTCTGCCCAAGTGTGGAATCAGAGGACTGTTGAATCCAGGCAACTAAGTGGAGTTGCAGGATCTGGCTTTGCTTTTTTTTTTTAATCTATTTAATACAGGGTCTCACCACGTAGATCAGACCTGTAGTGATTCTCCTGTCTCAGCCTCCCAAGAGCTGGAATTACAGGCGTGTGCCACCATGCCCAGTCGCCCTAGGGACAGCATGACATGCTAGGGATCGAACCCCGGCCGCTGTGCTCTGCCTAAGCAGGCACTCTTAAGTCCACTGAGCTATCTGGCTGGCCCTTGGCTTTGCTATTTTTTAAATGTAAAAGCTCACAGTTTTTCATGCATGTCTTTGACTCAGCATGGGGACGGCCACACAGCGCCTGAACACAGCGGTATCTGTGGCACCGTTGAGTCTGCACAATCTGTGTGCCAGGACAGGGCAGGGAGCAGGCTGGGGCTCCCTGGCTCCCAGTCCTTGGACCTGGTGCGCAGTGATTGTTTTTGTCTCAGCTACCACCTCTTGGGTTGACTGTCACAAAAGTGCTTAATCTCCGCTTTGTCCCCATTACCCAGAAGATCAACCAACAGAAATCAGAGACATGCACACTCACCCCTTTCAAAATTTATCACTTTTGAAAATACAGAACATCCAGTCCTGTCCAAGTAGCCTGCGGGTTCCAGACTTTCCTGTAGAACTTTCTGGGAGCCTGCACTCACCCACTTTCTGAAAAAAGCCACTACCTGATGAAGGAAAGGGTTTAAACAAGTGCTTCAAAAATATTGGAGCCCAGCAGATTTAATTAAAAAGTTAAAAACAGGAGAGATGGAAACGAAGGAGCTGGCAGAATTTTCACTAAAGAGGCTTGCATTTTAAAATGCAGAAGACCACCCACCTTCCAGCCAAGAATAAATTGGAAACTATTTTAATTGAAACGGATCCTGCAATTCAACTGTTACTAGAAAGACAGATTACTTGATTGATTTGCATTTTAATAAAACTAATACTTTACATTTTGGTAGCTAATGCTGATTTTCAAATGAGTTGAGAGCAGTTATCAAGAGCTTCAATCCTGAGCTCTTTTTCAGTGTTGACCAAGGCAGTCTTCTCTTGGGAGGAGTTTGCTGGTTTTATTTTCGGCCAGTGACTGCTTCATGGATCACACTTAAACCCCAGACCTTAAAAAGATCTGCAGGGGCAGGCTGGGGAGATAGGTCAGCAGCACAGGTGCCTACCTGGCAAGCGCAAGGTCCCGAGTTCGATCCCTGGTATAACCAAGAAAAACAACTTCAGGGACACTGAGGCAGTGAGCCTATCACAGGGCGGCCTCCTGCCTGTTTGCCCAACGGTAGGGCCTGCAAGAGGCACTGGGCTGCTTGCAGGACAGACAAGATGGGGAGGCTAATTGCTTGCTTTATTTTATTTTTAAAACGTACTTAGAGAAAAATTACAGAAAAGTAAAGTGAACAAGCAGAAGACTCGGCTGTAACGCCGTCTCTGCAAAATAACCATTGCCATTGGTTTAGTGTGTCTCTTTCCTGTTCGTGTGCAGGTGCCACCATATGCCACGGAGCCCCAGCCGTTCTAGGAGAGAGAAGCCAGAGAGCAGTCAGGGCGGAACAGTGGACGGTGGTGGTTTTGTTGTGATTTTTTTTGTTGGATTTTTCTTGGTCATTGTTTTTTGAGAGTTCTTGCTAAATTGCACGGGCTGGGCTGAAACTTTTTTTTTTTTTTTTGGTGGTACCAGGGATCGAAGTCAGGATCTTGTGCTTGCCAGGCAAGCACTTACTCCACTGAGCTATCTTCCCCAGCCGCTTGGGCTCAAACTCTTGATCGTCCTGCGTTAGCGTCCTAGAGTGCTGGGAGCACAGGAGTGTACCATGACATCTGGCTTTAAAGACAGCTTTGTTTGTTCTTGGTGCTGGGGCTGAGCCTCTGAGCTGCACACCATCTCCAAGACTCAGGTTTGATGGGGCTGGTGAGATGACTCAGTGGTCTAAAGCACCTACTTAGAACAAGCTAAGCTAAGCAAAGCACAGGGACCGCGGTTCAATCCCCCAGCACCACATGCCAGCCAGCCCCGCCCCCTGGTGGGCTGAGCTGGCCACACACACACACACACAAACACACACACACACACACACACACACACACACACACACACACAAAGACTCGGGTTTGACTTTTGGATAGCTTGCAATTTTTTAGTTACCCTCTTAGAAACAATTAAAATGGTTGGGAATGTAGCTTGGCCATAGATTGCTGGCTTCCCAGGCATGAGTCCCTGCGTATAATTCCAGCACTGAAAAAAGTAAGAACAGTACTTAATGCAGCTATATTTACAATCTTCTCCTCTCATGTACCCCATGCTTATACTCCCAGATAAGAAACAGGGGTATGTGGCATTCTGTATTTTAATATCAGTACAGCAAAGATTATTTCTGTATTTGTACAAATACCTTCGCATTGCTAGGTTATTTGTTGACTTGTTTTTGTTACGAGGCCTTGCTGTAAAGCCAAGGCTGACTTCAGATTCAGTCTTCCAACCTCAGCCTCCTCAAAGATACATTTTAATAGTAGATTAGTAATTTCATATATATCAGTGTTTAAATCCTCTGTTGTTGGATATTTAAGTTGTTTCTAGATTTGGATGTTGTGAATAGCATTATAGGGCTGGCCAGATAGCTCAGCACAGACTAAAGCACCTGTTTAGGCAGACTCAGGGGCTGGGAGTTCGATCCCCGGCGGCGTGCTGAGAGGGTGACTGAGACTGGGCGTGGTGGTGCGTGCCTGTAATCCCAGCGCTTGGGAGGCTAAAAACAGAATCACTACAAATCCAGTCCACATAGTGAGACCCTGTAGACCCTGTACTAAATACATTTAAAAAAAAAAAAATGCTACAGGGAAACATTTTGTGTGAGGTTTGTTTATTGTGTGTTGTGAAACTTTCTTGGCACATGTTCTTAGGAGGAACATGAACCAGGCAAAGGGTGTGACGTCTTTAGGGCTCTCGGTGCACACCATCCAGCTGCTTTGCACGCCTTGTTCACATCTCCACCCTTGGCCAAGCTGAGCCTCCTGCAACAAAGAGGGATTGGCCTGAGGGTGCTGGGTTTATTTCTTGCTCTCCAGGGAACCCTTCAAATCAGCATCCTCCTGTGAAGGGATTAAAGAGCCGCCTATAATGTGCTTTGAGATCCTCCTCCACTGAAGCCTGTGGCTGTGTGGGCCTGGCAGGCCAGGAACAGCGTCCTCTGGAAGCCCTGTACTCAGGGCAGCCACGGGGGAAGGCGAGCTGCAACCAGCTGGGCAGGCTGTGGCTTTTCAGTTAGGAAAGCAGTTTTCCTACTGGAACAAAACACGGAGGGAGGGGGGCAGGGAGATGGCTCAGTGAATAAGCGCTTCCCTGGCAAGCGCAAGGGCCTGAGTTCAATCCCCAGTTCTGCCAAAAAAACCAAAACCAAAAACAACAAAACCAAAAAACAGGAACACTAGAGGACCCTGGAGTAGGTGAGGACTTCTGGAGAGGACCCCAAAAGTTCGGGAAACCAAAGTGAAAAGAGACAAATGGGTTCAATCTGCTTAAACATCTGCACAGCAAAAGAAATCAGCAGAGCGAAGAGAACCCACAGAGTGGGAGAGAACATTCGCCAAGGGAGCATCCGGCAAGGGTCAGTATCTAGCATATGCAAGGAACTCAATAGAAAAATGCTCAGAAGGCAAAGGCCCTGCGTTAGTCCCACCACCAAGGGGTGGGGCGTTAAGACTTACACAGGATCGGGCTGGGGAGATGGCTCAGTGGAATAAGCGCTTCCCTGGCAAGCGCAAGGGCGTGCGCCTGAGTTCAATCCCTGGTTTCACCAAAAAAAAAAAAAAAAAAAAAAAGACTTACACAGGCGTTGGTCCAGAGAAGACATGACATGCCCAATATCACTAGCCAGGAAAGTGCAAATCAAAACCACAGTGAAG